TGTTGAAAGTACAGCACCCTGAGACAAACGCTAACAGGCCATACTGCCAGAACAGGGGGTTCGCATATAGCACTAGCTGCTTTTGAAGTATGAAGGAACACGGTTGGTGTCCTTGCTTAACGAAGGCAAACAGGTTCGCCAGCGGCGCAGCAAAGGCTTCACTGATGCGGAGTAGGTCCGCAATGTATGCAGGGTTCACCTCAGCTGGGATATCACCAAAGTATGTGCCTCGGAGTGCTCTTTCCGCAACCCGCCGCCAGAGGATTGTGCGGACGAAACGGTTCACTTGCTTGTTAGAGATGCACAATCTCGCCATTGGCCATTCACGGGGCAAGTCACTGTAGAGCTGTAGAGAAGGCAGCGCAACTCTTTTTCTGGCAGCGTCAGCAGCAGCACGAGCAGCACCTTGGTAGTCATGCAGTCCCTGCATGGCCGTCTGCTCAGATTCCAATTGGAGATCTGTGGCTGCAGTGCCTCCTCGCTCCAGGTCCCCTTGGTCATTGTCCAGGTCAATTTCCGTCAATGACGTGTTGGTGCTCTTGTGCTGTCTCTGGGTGGTCAGACGGCGTGGCTGGGTTCCCTCGGACTGGAGACTCTTGCATCGGGGCAGTCATGTTAGCGAGGTCCGCAAGCGTGACCGAGTGTTGCCCATGCTCAGTGGCTGTTTGGATGCCTGCCCCACCGACTGACGGAGCTTTTTGGATTGAGCCTTCCCGGAACCTGCCTTTGTCCCTGGTCTTCGTTTGATTGGAGTCTCCGATGAATGCGACGGGGAGCTATCATCTTGAGGATCAACTCCCTGTGGCGGCAGTGCACTGCTCTGTTCTCCGTCTTCTTCTGCCATCGCTTCGTTTGCTGGTCGCATATTGGAGGAGGCTGGATAATTGCTAAGGCAGTCACCCTCTTCGCCTGACGAGGTGGCATCGCCATGTCCGTCTCCCATTGGGGAGTCCGCACCTTCCGGAATCGCAGAGCTAGGCCAGGTGGATGGCTCGGAAGGGGAACTGAGGACTGAAACTAGTTTGCTTGCTTCCTCGTCCGCCATCGTGGCGTCGGTCGTCTCGGGAGAAGCTGGAGACTGGCATGATTGGTCGGCTGCCTCCGTGTCAGCATCGGAGACGGAGAGAACGTCTTCAGGTGCACTTGGTTGCGGCCAATAGCAGCCTTGGACCAAAAGGCCAGGCTTAGGCGGCAAGACTAGCTCCGACCCTGGGACGTCGAGGACAGTTTGCGGCCTCCACGCATCGTAAACATAAACTCGGTGCAAGGCTTCAAAGGTGTAGTCCTGTGCCTTGCGATGCTCAGCAGTGTTGGGTGTCGGCTGGTAGCGCTGGGAGCATCCGACACTGCACCTTTGGCCAGGACCATTGCTGTTGCGCAAGAGCCGCCAGCGTCCCGCCTGCTGTCCATTTGGTATGACTAGCCATTCCGGCATTGGCGAAGCGTCCAAAGCATACCCGTAAACAAGCCCATGCGCGGCCGTGCAGCCAGGAAGGTGTGGCCCATCCTGCAGGCCAGATATTTCTGCTTTTGTCAAATGCGACTGAGTGGCTAAGACAAGACGTAAGCGCCTCACCTTGCCCTCATGATGCTCTGCTAGACAGACAGGGAGAGGGCCAACCCATAGTTTGGGCGGCGAAAGTGCCTGCTGGAAAGTAGCAGCAGCTTGTGTCACTTGGATTGCTGTGAGGTCCAGTGAGCCACGGATCGTTGGCTCTCTGTCGTCAAAGGTGTATATGGTTTGAACGCCATGTAAGACGGCAGCTAGGACTTGCAGGGCCCCTGGCATTCCTTGCATGTTCAAAGGGCAGGCAAGGATGGTGAGGTCGGTGGCTCGACTATATGCCACGTTTGCACGGGTAAAGCATTCCTGATCATAGTCGAGATTCCGTCCTTCTCCACTGAGGAAGGTAAACTCCCCGTGTATGATAATGCAATGCCTGGCTGTGGCGCCTGCTACTTTTACGGCCGTTTCCGCATTAGCCTTCTTCCCAGCCACGTCAAAGTAGTTTCGCAGATTTTGGGCTCCTTCTCGGGTGGTCGTGAGGGCCAAAATGCACTCGTTTCCTGCATCTGCCCTTGTCAGCTCATCTTCCAGGTGCTGATACACCCGCACAGTGGGGCTGTTCTTGGGATCTTTTCTTGCGTCCACATTAGCCGAGGCATGGCACCAATGGACGAAACGCAGGCCAGAGGCAATCAGTTGGTCTTCCCTTATTGAGGTTGTGCCTATTTGCCAGGTGTCGCCCAATCGGCTGCAAAGCATAGGGCACTGGATTCCGATCAACGGCTCATAGACCTCTTGGGCAACTCTTGCACTCGTTGGCAGCATGAGGCATACTTGCAGACAAGTTTGTTGAGGGACAAGATATACTGAGCGCATTGCTGAATTCGTTGCCCCTGTTTCACCTGTGTTTCACCTCTTTTCACTATGCCTACCTGGCCTCACGAGTTGCCTGACAGGTTGCTCCCTCTCTGGTTTTGTTTGGGTGGTGTTTGGTTTGTTGTGTGGTTTGTTTGTTTTGGGGGCTTCTTTCTCGCTTTTTGGTTGCAACCTGCATCACAACTCCATCTTAACTCGAACAAGGTGACTTGTGCAGACCCTGCGCACATAGCGCCTAGACTCGTGCAAAAAAAGGGGGGAACTGGGGGGAGCAAACTTTCGACAGGGAACTCGGGACACGGAACTGGGGGCAGGGAACTGGGAACAGGGAACTGGGCCGGGGAACTGGGACAGGCAACTTGGGACAGGGAACTGGGGGCAGGGAACTGGGACAGGGAACCGGGAACTGGGGACAGGGAAGTGGGGACTGGGAAAGGGAACTTGGGACAGGGAACTGGGGACAGGGAACTGGGGCAGGGAACTGGGTCCAGGGGACCTTCGTGGGGGCTTAAGGGGGCTTAAGCCCCCTTCGAAGGGGGGCTTAAAGGGTGCTTAAGAGGGGCCAAAGGGGGCTTGAGGGGGGGCGAGAAGATGGCTGGTGCTGCCTCCCATTGCCAAGAAGTGACCCTTGCTGTGGATGCTGATGCCCGCCAGTTTGCATCTGCTGTGGAGAACCAGTCTCCTCTTCCAAAATCCTCAACTCTCACAAGTGTTGGGTGCTCAGCTTCACTCACAAATGCCCTGACTGCGCTCCACCTTTCCAGATGGCGTAGGTCCCTGAAGCAGCTCCTCGGAAGCATATCCAGAACGCTTTGCCTTTTCCAGAAGCTCTGACAACTGTGCCACTGACATCTTCTCAGAAGCCATGGCTCACACACAGTCTCGGCTCCTAAGGTGCACTGAAGTTGCCTGCCCAACAACCCCACAATGGAGGTCACTCACTCAGTTTGATTTGCGTCCATTTTGTTCTACCGGGCGAAAAATCGTGCAAGTTTTCGATTGTTTCCGTGGGTACAACAAAGGTTTGCACTGCTGGGTGGTCCATGAATTTTGGCGCGTGGAGCCTGCTACGCTCGCGCACGTTCACAGGCCAGTGCTGGGAGCCATCCCCGACCGCCCAGCACGGCAAGGAAACCCTTACCCGACCCCGCACGCCGCGGAAAACATTGAGGCTTGTCCTTGGTGTTTGTTCAGGCTGCCGCCCGGGTTCCGGTTCTATCTTAAATCAACGTGCGGTCTCGGCGCCACTTCAGTCCGGCTCCGGCCCTTCGTTACAATGCGCGGTAATGCGGGCGCTTCTTCAAACGGGGCGCTCCACACTTGTGCCAAGGCATTCCGAGCATTCTTCGCGCTCAACCATTCTTGACAAAGGTTGGCGTGGGCTTGGCCATTGATGTGTCCAAAGATTAATTGCATTTTCGGGTGAATTTGTAGCCTTCATGATAGGGTCCAAAAACACTAGCAAAGCCGGTCTCGCCACGGAGGGTCTCCCCAATAGTTTGAGTCTTGAAGTTTTGAAAGAGTTTTGTCGCGCTTCCGAGTGGTTAAGAGCTTTTGTAAATGAGTTCTTTGTGTTTTGTATGCACATGTGCAGTTCTCCAATGAACTGGGTGAGTTTTTTAACTTGAAGAGTTTCAAGGTACCGGACTCATCTAGAGAGCCTGCTGTGAGCTCAAAGATCAGAGGTTTGCCGTAAGGTCTGCTACCCATGTTTTTTCGATGTACCACTGTCCAGCCCACCATTTTCGCTTGCGTAGTGCATGAGCAGAAATGTTCGCAGCGTGCTGTGAGGCTTGTGCTATTGACAAAGCCCGTGCTCACCAAAGCACGGAAAAGTTCTGAAGATCACCATAACCATCCTCATCCTCATCCTCATCATGACGTTCGGGCCGCCCGGTCGTCCAATTCTTGTAATTTTTGTACTTTTAATCTCTTTGGATTTCTGCCTGTAGCTGGAACTGGGCCATTCAACACAAATTCGACATGCAAATCGATTCCCACTTCCTGAAAAATAACCATGCTAAACACACATGCCGTTGCGACTTTTGACTTCAGTCGTTGCACCTCAGGATCAGACGAGCAGAATACAATGAGCAAAGTTGTGCAACCAAGGCCCAAGTTCAAGGTGTGTCAATTCCGCCATTGCCGTTCTTCTTACACTTGGGCACTTCAGCACGCTTTCAAATCAATGTTTACGGAAAAGACTTGAATTCAAAGCGATTGTTTTTGCGTGATTTTGGACTTGTGAGGGAACATTCTTGTTGCTGTTGAACATTGTTTTGACCGGAACCGGTCTCGCTATTTTTGGACATGTTTCATTTTGGTTCAAGTAGAGATGTGTCCTGTTGTGAAGAGTAAGCGAAGACTCCAAACGGTTCGGACTCGAAAAGGACTCGAACCGTGGAGGACCATGGGCACCAAACCGCACCAGCCGGCACCAGCGTTTCGGCTCGGACGGAGGCATCCAAGAAGCAGTTTGAACAATGGCAAGTGATGTGTGGCCTTTTTGGTCATTTTTTCAGATCCTCAAGGTGTTGGAATTTGGGTGACCAAATGTGGGGAACAATTCAATTGATGTGCTCTTTCTCACGTCTCATTTCAATATTATTGGAGGATCCATTTCCATTTGTTTGTACCCGTCACATGGTGCTAGATCGTCCAAGCATGCCGCTGATTTCCCGGAGGACTGTCTACCAACGGGGTGAATCATTGTACTTGGTCACTGGGCCGTCAAAGGATTTGATCGTGCTTTGTTGGTGTTTTTCAGCTTGATTAAGGACCAAGGCCGAAAAGGAAGGTTTTGAAGTTGACAAGACACTTTTCCATTTGCAGTGACTCAAACGACATCCACTTGCTGGCCATCTCGGCTGCAGCTTTCGATTCACCGCGGTGAACATACCGTCATCGTGGCCATCGACCGGCCCTGCGCTTCGACCGTGAGCCACTTCGTCCGACCGCTGTGAGCACGATGAGCGCTGCGGGCAGCGGCGAGAAGCGTAAGGCCTCGGCATCGCTGCCAGTGGAGGAGTTGGTGGAGGCAGAGGACGATGTGCCGTACAGCCTCATTGAAAAGCTCCAGGAGAGGCGGGTGTGTTGCAGAGGTGATAAGGTTAGATGCAGAGTTATGGAGATTGTGGTCAATTCGAGGCTTTTGCATGTTTTTGCAACGACTTCGGGGGTATGACCTTTGATCAATCCCAAATCATGCTGTTCGGAGAATATATGAACCGACCTCCAGACAATCCCGAATCTTGGAGAGATGTGAGAACTGTTGTAGGCGAAGCCAGGCCATATGTTCTTCTCCTTTGGGATGTAGCCCCCGTGTCAAACCCGAGCGGGACATCCACCAAGATCCTGGCCTCCAAGTGTAGTAGGATTCGGGCATCAATGCCGCCGACCTCAAGAAGCTCAAGGACCTGAAAGGATCCGTGTCTTTTGGGCCAGGTCTACAGTTAGTTTTGCAGCACTAGAAGGCAGAGTGTTTGAGGGTAAAGCAGATGAAAGCAAGCAGCATTGATTTAGTGATCTCAGTTTAAGACAAGACACTCCTGTGTGTGAAGGGTCCAACTAGCTTGGAAGCAGTGTACACCCCAAAATCCACATGGTGGTAAACCCTTCCGGATAGGCTCTACCAATTTGAGGCCGTTCACGCCAGCTCATATTCAGTTTGTCAAAAGAAAGGACAAAACATGAAAAGGGTCCAAAGGGTCCAAAGGATTGAAAAAACAAGAAAATAAATAGTAACAAGAAGCTACTAGGAACAAGTGCATCGCTACCAGTAATAAGTGCCTTACTACTAGTAACAAGAAGCTAGTAGAAACAATATATAAATTAGGTCCCACAAAAAGAACAGCAAGTGAAAGAGAAGAAAAGGTCGCCATCGCTTCTAGGTTAGAGGCCATTGCTTCTAGGTTTATTTTTCCTTCTTTCTCTTCGCTTCGTTTCCAGGATGCAGGCTTCAATACCAGTCAGTCTGTGGCCTTCACCATGCGCAAGGAGCAGCGAGCATGCTGTCCTTGGAACGTTGGACAAGAGCGGGTCAGCTGTTTTCTTCATTTGTTCCTTTTGAGCAGGCACTCTTTTGACGATTTTTTCGAGGTTCCATCTTGCGAGAAGGTCTTCATATCAAGAGAATGAACGCTTGTTGCTTGCAGCTGCCTGCGTCAGTTCGTTGAGTCCATCGTTAAACGGAGTTTGGGTGCTGCAGGCCTCGCGAAGTGCTTTTTGGGATAAACATGAACAGAATGGGCTCCAGGTTTTCCCTAACAATCTAGGAATGAATAGTCTGAGCATGAGCTATCCTGCATCCAGTGGCTAGTAGCGGCTAGTTGCCTTCACCCTACTTGATTCAGTAGGCGCCTACTTCTATAATTATGAAGAGCGGGCTGCTAGCGATGGCCTTCACCCTAGTTGCAATGGCCTCCAACCTAAGAGCGATGACCTCCAATCGAGTAGCGATGGGGTGAAGAAAGAGTGAGGGCAACATGCACAAAAAATGCAAGGAGCTGCTGAGCATCAAAGGTTTGTCTGACCAGAAGGTGGACAAGATCATCGAAGCGGCACGGAAGTCCAGCCATGTAGGCTTTGTGACCTGTAACTTGGCCGAGAAGACTGGGCTTCCCATCCAAAGTGCCTGTGGCTTTCTTTTCTTTATTGTTTTTAACATGATGTCAGATCATCGATCGTCGAATCGGATGACAATCAAATGATGTGGACGTGCCAATGTAGATGACAATCGGACGTGTCATTTTACCCTTGTTAACACGTCAGGATCATTCGAGGTGCTCAAAGCCGTGTTTTTGAGTACCTCATTTGACTCTCCAGCCGTGTCGTTTGACTTTGATGTCAACCTTCTGAGGTACTCAGCTGGTGAGTCAAATGTCCAGCCGCTTTCACCTCTCGACGGGCGCTGGCAAGTTGGATCAAATGCTCGGTGGTGGTGTGGAGAGCTGCAGTATCACTGAGATCTTTGGAGAGTTCAGGTGTCTTTGGAGAGTTGGTTTATGTTAGGTGTGAAGTAACTGGTGATTTATGTAGGAACTCAAAAGGGGTCTCCCCGTCCCGCAAGTTCCACAAGTTCCACTTGGTAAGAGGTCTCATGGGTCTTTCCAAGCAAGCTTCATAGGGTGATCCAGTCCGATTTTTCTTTTTTCCTTGCAGTCACTATTGTCCTTCCACTGAACATTGGTAGCGTGCCCTTGTTGTGACGTTGTGGTGTTCTTCTTTGGCAGGTGCGGCAAGACACAGCTGTGCCACTCCTTGTCAGTGATGTCACAGCTTCCGTCGAAGATGGGTGGTGCCAATGGGAAGGCAAAAGGGTCAGAGAGTCTTTGGGAGTGGGTCTGTGGCCGGGGCTCCGTGCACAAAGATTCCAGACACGATACCAGCCAGGGCCACCATGGGCAAGGGAGTCAGTTCACTTCACTTTGCATCTTTCTGTTTCACCAGGTGGTCTACATTGACACCGAGGGCACCTTCCGCCCAGACCGGATCCGGCAGATTGCCGAAGCCAAAGGGGTCAGCCCGGAGGCGGCGATGGAGAACATTGTTTATGCGAGGTGACGGACTAAGAACTGAGAGGAACACGAAAAGAAGAGATCCTACTAGCTATGGCCTCCCAACCTAAGAGCGATGGCCTCCAACCTAAGAGCGATGGCCTCCCAACCTAAGAGCGATGGCCTCCCAACCTAAGAGCGATGGCCTCCCAACCTAAGAGCGATGGCCTCCAACCAAGAGCGATGGCCTCCCAACCTAAGAGCGATGACCTCCAGCCGAAGAGCGATGGCCTCCCAACCCAAGAGCGATGGCCTGCAACCTAAGAGCGATGGCCTCCAACCTAGTAGTAGCGATGGCCTCCCAACCTAGTAGTAGCGATGGCCTCCCAACCTAAGAGCGATGACCTCCAACCTAAGAGCGACGGCCTCCCAACCTAAGAGCGATGAGCTTCAACCTAAGAGAGATGGCCTCCAGAGCGATGACCTCCCAACCTGAGAGCGATGGCCTCAAACCTAAGAGCCATGGCCTCCCAACCTAATAGCGATGTCCTCCAGAGCGATGGCCTCCAACCTAAGAGCGGTTGCCTCCAACCTAAGAGCGATGGCCTCCAACCTAGTAGTAGCGATGGCCTCCAACCTAGTAGTAGCGATGGCCTCTAATCTAAGAGCGATGGCCTCCAACCTTAGAGCGATGGCCTCCAACCTAGTAGTAGTGATGGCCTCCAACCTAAGAGCGATGACCTCCCAACCTAAGAGCGATGGCCTCCAACCTAGCAGTGATGGCCTCCCAACCTAAGAGCGATGACTTCCAACCTAAGAGCGATGGCCTCCAGACGATGACCTCCCAACCTCAGAGCGATGGGCTCCAACCTAGTAGTGATGACCTCCCAACCCAAGAGCGATGGCCTGCAACCTAAGAGCGATGGCCTCCAACCTAAGAGTGATGGCCCTCAACCTAGGAGCGAGGAACTTAGTGAAGAGACAGGAGACAGACATTGAAGTGCTTGTCTTCAGACACGGCCATGATATTTTTGTTTCTTTAGACACTTCTTTTGCTTTCTTTCCTTTCTTCCTTCCTTCCTTCCTTCCTTCCGTGCTTCCTTGCTTCCTTTCTTCCTTCCTTTCGAGTCTGGTTAGGGCCGGTGTTTGAAGTGTTTGTTCAGGTGTGCTTGATAAGTGTTTGGAAGATGTTGTCGGTGTTTGGGCGGAGTTTGGATTCTGGACGACGTTCGTACTTGTGGATCTGCGACATGACGCATACGACATGACTTTTGACGCGTCATTGGTAGGGAGGTTCAGCTAATAGCTTTATTGCTACAGTGTAGTCAATCCACGTGTAGCGAATGGATCTGCCACAATGAGCGGATGGTGACTGAGTGGCGTGTTGAAGTGACAGCTTCAAGACAAGCCGAACAAGCTTGACATTGGGAAGACTGACCATTCTTTTGCTCCTAGTAGTAAGGCCAGGAGCCCCGTTCGTAGCGTCCGATCGCTCCGTTCGTAGCGATGCCCTTTGCTCCGTTCGTAGCGTCCTTGTTACTAGTAGTAAGGCACTTGTTACTAGAAGCGATGCCAGGAGCCCCTAGTAGCGTCCGAATGCTCCTAGTAGCGATGTCGAAAAGGTGCTATACTTCGGATCATTTGGAGCACTTGCTGATGGAAGCATCCAGTCTCTTGGCTGGATTGTCAAGCTTGATCCGGTGGTTGGTCGATCTTCGTTTTGCGACCGACGTCACAAGCGACGTTGAAGCGTGGACCACTCAAAGGCGTGGAAGAGAGCTTAGCACAGCTTCACTGCGTTAGACTCAGCACATTCTTATCGTTCCTCAGTCCGTGTCCTGTGTGTTTTCTCCCTTCTAGCGATGGCCATGCCGAGAGTTGAGGTCTCATGGTGAATGATGAAGACCGCTTTGCTTTGCTAGTGGTGGATTCCATCATGGGTGGCTTTCGCGTGGACTATTCCGGACGTGGAGAGTTGGCAGATCGTCAGCAGAAACTGGCACGGGTGATGAGCAAGCTGCAGAAGGCCGCGCGCGTCAGACTTGGCGAATTTGAGGTACAAAGTGTCACACTGTGAGAAACACTGTGGAAAACACGGTGTTTTCCATGAGAAAATCATGGGTCCATTTGGTGTGTCGGGGGTGGATTTTCTCTTCGGGTCCATGTCGAAATCGAAGTTTGAACATGTGCTGTGGAGGGAAGTTGATGAATCTGTGCTGCCCAATGAGACTCCAACGAGTCCATGACTCCAACGAGTCTTGAAACAGATATGCCCATGGAAGATTTGCACCACTCTTCCAGACTTAAGGTCTTACACATGGCCCTAAGAAATCGATAAGTTTTAACGTCTCCTTTCTCTTTCAACGTTTCTCTTATTTTCTTCCTTCCTTTCCAGTCTTGGACTTCCTGGTGCACTTCCAGGTGAGCGAAGAATTCAACGTCGCAGTGGTCTTATCCAATCAAGCCACATGGAGTGGATTCGGCCGAGGGCAGCCTCCGCCGATTCGGCCGAGCCCATCATATTGGACGAGTTGCCGTTCCAATTCGTCCTGCTACCTAAGAGCGATGGCCTCCAACCTAGTAGCGATGGCCTCCAACCTACAAGCGATGGCCTCCAACTCAATAGCGGAAAGGTCCTGCTTGTTAGATTTTCACATCAAAAGAGTGAAAAGCTCTTTGGCTGCAAACAAGTAGTATGTTGCAAACACCACCCCCGAGGAGTTTTCTTTTTTTTCCCCAAACAGTTTACTGTTAGGGGTTCTCAATGCTTTAAAGAATGGTCGCCTTGGTGCTGGATGGTCTGGTCGGGTTCCCGGCCGGCCTTGTCTTCCACTTCCTTTCATTTGTCTCCCAGTTCTTTTCATTTGTCTCCCAAGCTGGGTGCTTGTGGTCGGGTTCCCGGCTGGCTTGTCTTCCCAAGCTGGGTGCTTGTGGTCGGGTTCCCGGCTGGCTTGTCTCCCACTTCCTTTCATTTGTCTCCCACTTCTTTTCACTTGTCTCCCAGTTCTTTTCATTTGTCTCCCACGCTTGTGGTCGGGTTCCCGGCTGGCTTGTCTCCCACTTCCTTTCATTTGTCTCCCACTTCTTTTCAACTGTCTCCCACTTCTTTTCATTGTCTCCCAGGCTGAGTGCTTCTGGTCGGGTTCGCGCCCTTTTCCGCTGGCCATCTGGTGTCCGCCCTTTTCCGCTGATGTGCGCCCTTTTCCGCTGGCCATGTAGCATTTCTATTCGTTTGTCTCCCAGGTCTCTCACTGCTGGTGTTCGCCCTTTTCCGCTGGCCATGTAGCATTTCTATTCATTTGTCTGGTGGTGTCCGCCCTTTTCCGTCGGCCATGCAGCATTTCTATTCATTAGTCTCCCAGGTCTGTCGCTGTTGGTGTCCGCCGTTTTCCGCTGGCGATGCAACATTTCTATTCATTTGTTTTTCAGGTTTGTCACTGCTGGTGTCCGCCCTTTTCCGCTGGCCATGCAGCATTTCTATTCATGTGTTTCGCGGATCTGTCACTGCTGGTGTCCGCCCTTTTCTGCTGGCCATGTAGCATTTTTATTCATTTGTCTACCACATCTCTTTTGGCCATGTAGCATTTCCATTCATTTGTCTCCCATGTGATTTCTTTCTTTTTGTCTTTCAGGTTTGGTGCCTGCACTGGTGTTTTCTGCCCTGTCCGCTGGAACAGGTTCACCTGTGAAAGGTTCTTGCTCCTTTGAAATGGGTGCGTGACTGTCTCCGGGGTTGCATTCCTGCCGCAGTGTGTAACTCTCTCAGCTTTGTTTTCCTTTTCGGGCAAGCGTTGGATGAATGACCGGATTGGATTTCGGCGGCGTGGCAGCGATCTCTCTGTTCAGTTGGGACGGAGGGCATACGTCAGGCACCAAAAATCAATTTCATGTCACATCCTTCGCTCCTCACGCTTTTGTTTTTTGTCCTCACGTGGTCAGCTCCCCGCTGATTGAGCAGCATGACCAGCATCATGTTCGCACTTGAAGAATAATTCCCCAAAAGGTTTAGGGCTTCTCAATTCTTTTCTTAAGATATGTCCGCCTGCTCAGTACGGCTGTGTCCGTCTCTGCCTTGCAACCCTTTACATTTGTCTCCCAGCTCTGGGCTGCTGTGGCCGCCTCTGCCTTGCGCAATCCTTTGTCCAAGCTCTAGTTTCGATGTTGAAAAACACAAACTGTTTGGGGTCTACGGTGGTGTAATTTTTTCCAAATCATGTTGCTTTTGTTGTCTTCGCTGAATGAAGACAGCAGCACCAGTTATCAAGCCATAAACGGCACCACAAAGTCAAGCGGAGCAATCTGGACCTTTTCTCCTCCTTGGCGGCACGGGAAGACTCAACCATACTCTTTTTTTACTTCACCAAAGTGCCCTTTCCACCTGGAAAAGTCTGACCTGTTGAACTTGGAGTCAAGAAGCAAAGCTTCTTTTAATAGCTTTTTGTTACTACTAGTAAGGCACTTGTTACTACTAGCGTGGCACTTGTTACTACTAGCGTGGCAC